ACTTGGAAAGTTCAGATCTTGTGGCAGCTGCACCCAAAAAAGAGGCACCAACCTTTGAGAAAGCGCCCTGTAAATAAGGTCTTGTTGGGGAACTGCATGAGAAACGTTTGAGCCAAACATAATGGGAGCATTAGAAGGGGAAGAAGCTGCGATTGGAGCTTCAGGGAAGATAAAAACCTAAAAGGAAAAGCATTGGATTTTGGCATTGTTGGAGAGATCTCCCAAGAAATCTCCGTAGGTGCAGGTGATGCTCCCCAGCCCACAGTGCAAGGTTGTGGAGCTGCAGACTGGGTGCCAAGGTGCCGGACCTGTGCCTGGTGGTGGGCCTGGGGCAGCACCCTGTGCCTGAACCCTGATCAGAAAGTGGTTTGAATCAACTCTGCAAGAGGGAACCACGTCAACCTGGTACCTGGCATCAGGTAGGGTGGTGGATGCTGTGGCAGCTGGACAGCTCGATGACAGCGCTGCTGGTGGAGGCACATCCCGACAGCACCTCGGAGGATCCTGGAGCTCCCTCGGACCATTCCCAGGGAGCCCCTGTCCCCCAGTGCTGACTGACTGACCCATCTCAGCAGGGAGTGCTTGGGTGCCTGAGCCTGGGAGGGGAGGCAGCACCTCCAGGTCCTGCAAGGTCTCCAAGGGTTGTGGGGAAGTAGAGAAGCATGGAATGGTTTGGGCTGGAAAGGACCTTAAGATCATCCAGTTCCAACCCCCTGCCACAGGCAGGGACACCTTCCACTAGAGCAGGTTGCTCCAAGCCCCTGTGTCCAACCTGGCCTTGAACACTGCCAGGGATGGGGCAGCCACAGCTTCTCTGGGCACCCTGTGCCAGCGCCTCAGCACCCTCACAGGGAAGAGATTCTGCCTTAGATCTAACCTGAATTTCCCCCGTTCCAGTTTGAACCCATCACCCCTTGTTCTGTCACTACAGTCCCTGATGAAGGTCCCTCTCCAGCATCCACTGGAAGCTGTTCCGAGGTCTCCACGCAGCTTCTCTTCTCCAGGCTGAACAGCCCCAATGTTCTCAGCCTGTCTCCATACAGGAGCTGCTCTAGAAGAGAGGTTCTGGTGGAGATGCTGAGGGAGAAGCAAGGACATCTTATACTGATGCATTTTCGCCTGCCCCTTGCATGGGGTCTGGCAGGGCCAGGATGGGGTGGGAGGTAGATGTGGGTCCGTGTGTTGAGTGGTTGTTCTCTCTCAGGTGCAGAGTCTGAGCCCTTGGCAGCTGCTTCCATTGCACCTGAGCTTCATAGTGCATAGGTGGTAAATTTGCTTGAGGGGGTTCTCCTTGTTTCTGGAAGAGAGGGAGATGGCAGGGGCATGGTCCTGCCTTGCTGCTGCAAGCTCTGTCAGAGTTAGGCATGGTAGGAAAGCCAAAGTACAGCAGGGGAGAAGCACCTTGGCACCGTGTAAGACTTCTTCTGGAATGTATACGGGAACAAGCATGAGAAAACAGAGGGATAAGGGGATAAAAAGTGCCAGCGGGTTGCTGGTCAGTACGTTTGCCTGGCTGTGCCCTGTGCTCAGCCAACCCAGTCTGCCCTTGTCTTACCAAAGTGTGTTTCTAACTATTTCCCAGCGTAAGGGTCTGTCTCTTCTGTGTTTGGGAGCCTGAGCACCAGCCACTGGTCTCCAAACCAGGGCTTAGAGGCCACTTTTCCCTGGTGCAGGTGAGACCTGTGCTTACGATGCGCTGGATTGTCCTTGGCAGGGCTGTTGCTGGGACAGCCGAGAGGAGCGACTGTTCCATCCGGTGCTGATGCACCCAGGTGATGGGGTTTGGGACTGCTGTGCCCCTGCACGGGCTCCCCTGGGTGCAGGGGGGGATGTGTTGAGCTGGACATGCAAGTGTCTGCCCAGTCACGCATGTCCTGTGGCATGGGTGCTGTCTGCCAGGCGAGAGCACTGGCGCATCCAGGAAAACCCAAGTGTAGTCCTTGGATCTCCCCTTGGCATGACCTGAGGTCTGGATGTGGCAAACGCCTACTAATTAAGGAGCGTGGTAATTTTTTGTGCTTCAAAGAGCACAGAGTTAAAAGGCAGCCCCAGAAGAATGGAAACATCAGTAAGATTGTGAAGTTAAAGGGTAGCATGAGCCTCAAACAGCCTGGTTGAGCTCTGGGCTTTTAAAGCAGGGCAGCCTTGGAGGGCTAAGCTGTAACCTTTGCCTTGTCCCAAAGGATTTGGAATCCTCCAAAGGTGTTGCTTGCTGCTCCTGTGTTGCCAGGTTGGCTTGGGATGTGTGGTGCAGAGCAGCTCTGCTTCGATGCTGCCCTACATCATTCTCTGAGCTTCCTGGTGCCTTGCTGAGATCCAGAGGCATTTGCTTTTCTCTATCAGACCCTGTGCTGCCATCAAGTAGTGCTGCTGCTGCACATCCAGCACCCCAAAGCCTGGGCCATCAGCAAGTGATCACTCCAGAGCCTCCAGCACTTTGTGTGGCCACCCCTCTGTCCTGATGCTGCCTCACACATCAGGAACAAGAGCAACTGCTGATGAATTTGTAGATGGTTGTGGGTCTGTCTGGATGGAGATGGGAGCAAACAGTGCTGCAGCTCCCGTACAGAGGTGCCTTCTCCCCTTTGGATTTGAGCACTGCGCTGCACATCCCTGCGGAGCTGCTGGGAGTATCCTGCATGTGTCCGTGTGTCTGCCTCAAACAGGGTGTTGGGTCAGTGCAGCTTCGGGCCGTGGTGCAGTGTTGAAGAAGTGAAAGAAGCCCAAGGATTCTCCCTTTCATCTGAGAAGCCTCGTTCTTATGACAGGAACTGAGCTTGAGTGATGCCATGCTCTAAAAAGAAAGGAGAAAGCCATTAGCTGCATTGCAAGGAGCGGGGTGAATCTGTCCTGGAGAGCATCGCATTGCCTGGCTTCTGGGGGCTTCCTGGCAGCATCAGTCACGCCAGCATCGCCTGGCACCCCACAGGCTTGGCCCCAGGTCCCATTTCTGCTGTTGAGATGGAGCCTTTGGAGTCAGGGAGGGCAGCGGAGCCCGTTTCAGCTGTGGGAGCATCACCAGGAGCACATCCAGGAGGGGCCTTTGGGTTTTCCACCATTCTTTCCCAAGATGTTCCATTTCCATGCTGAGGGGTGCTGCAGGGCCAGACCACGTATGTTAATTGCAGGTCTTGGTGGTGAGACCATCTTCTTTAAGGTGGAGGGGACTGGGGTGCCCATCCTTGTCCTGCAGCACTGTGTTTGTCAGCTCGGTCTCCTGGCTTGCCAACAGCAGTGGGGTATGGCTGACACGGGTGCCTTCATCACAGAACCACTGCACAGAAGTGTCAGCCTCTAGGACAGTTGGAGAGGGAAAAGGAGACATCACATTTCCACTGTTCAGAGTTGCTTTCAGAGAGTGGCCAATGCAGGAGGAGCTGAGCATGTTGCAGCTCATTGAAGATGCTCCTGTGGGTGCCAGGACAGCAGGGACACATGCAAGTTGTCCTGGACCACAACATGTCACGTTTTCAGCCTGGTCTTTTTGGACAGCATGAGTGGTTTTGATTTGGCCCATTGGCTGTGGGCAGTCTGGAGGCAGGCACTGTGATGGGAGAAGGATTTGGGGCAGGGAGCAAGGCCATACTTTGCTCATGGAGATAGGCTTATTCCCATCTCTTGCAGCATGATGTAGCTTGGAATCCCCAATGGAGGTGTCTGCAGCTTCCAAGAGCTCTTCAGCAATTGCTCTCCATGTCTTCCTGTCAAAGCCTGATTCCCAAATTCCTTAAATTCCTTAAATTCCTGATACCCAAATTCCTTAAAACCTGGTCCGTAAAGCCAAATTGTGTGTCGAACCTCATTCTGCAGGAGACATCCCCAGTGTTGGCTGATGGTAGATGGCTTCCTGCCTACTTCCCCTCTTCCCCCGTGCCCTCCCCCATCAGTCCCTGGCATGGTTTCTGTGTGCACTATGGCTTGGAGACCCCTCAGCTTTGCTGATGGACACAAAAGGGAAATGAAAAAGGGAAGCAGTGTGTATTGCAGAACCGCTGGAAGAGGTCAGGAGAACCCTGGGGCCTTGCTGATGTGGTGGGTCTGGAAGAGCCATTGGCTCCAGCAGGCAGGAAATTCTTCATCTCAGAAGGTGGCACACACTGCCTTCCCTTTTCGGGGTTTGTGTTAACTGAAAGACAGCCCAGAGAGTCCTAGAGAAACCTGAGATTTTGAGCCAGTAAAGAGCTGCTGGGTTCAGCTGCAGTTGGTTCCTGCAGGTTGCTGGCACTGATGGCCCAAAGCCTCAGAACCGTGTTGTCCTGGTTGTCTTCTCCATTGGCACTGGGATGCTGCAAATCCATGGTGATTTCATGCTTCTCCTGCCTGATGCAGCTCGGAGATGTGATGGAGAGAGCATTTCGGCAGCTCCTGGGGAGGGGAAGAGGAATGATTTGTGTCCCCCATGTCACCACAGGCACATGGCTCTGGTGCAGGGAGTGGAGGACCCATGCAGGCAGGGTGCAGGCAAGCAGCAGACTTGCAGAAAAACAGAAGTCAGCCTGCTTTGGGCTGGTCCTTAAATGATCCAAAGCAGCAAACGTGCTGGAGCCCCCCAGGACTCATGGCCAGAAAGGAGCTGGTGCAGGAAGTGGCTGCCCCGGGGGGGAGCCTGGCCCGCGGCCTGTGCCCAGGGGAGGTCCTTGTGGGGCTGCCACCCTACAAGGTTTTGGGAGGTTTGGGACCAGCACGGCTGACCTGAGGTCGCTGCAGCGTAAAGGTCTTGGCCTCTTCTTGCAAAGAGCTTGGGATTCCCACCTGGAAAGGGCTGGGTTGGGTGAGCCTCCACCACCCCACCGAGAGGGCAGCGCGTGTGGGGCTGGGGGCTTCACCGGGGCACCAAGGCTGCCCTGTGCCCATGGAGCAGCAGCAGCAGCACTTCCATTCTGCAGGCATTTTGTCTTGGCCTCTAATTTTGCTCCTGGTATGGACCAGGAGGGTTGTGCCAGGCTGATGGGGTTTCCACACCTCCTAACACTGTTTCGCCTTCTTCTTTGCAGTCAGGACAGTTCAATGAAGACATGATCCCGACAGTGGGCTTTAACATGAGGAAGATCACCAAGGGGAACGTTACCATAAAGGTAAGGTGCAGATGTTATTGCTGGTGGGGGCTCCTGGGATGAAAGATGGGAGTGAAGGGAGATTGGCGGGTCTTCTGCTGGAGGCTGAAGGATGTGAGCAACCCCAGCTGCAGCTGACATCTGCCCTGTTAGGCTTTTGCAGGTACCCACCAGAGGAGAGGTTGGGAACAGATGTAGGAGATCCAGACCTCTGCAGTAAGAGCCAGTCTGGGCTGCAAAGCTGTAGGTTTTCTTACACCTCTGGCTTGCTGGTGGGGACTCATGGATGTGGTCACCTTGCTGAGGGTGGGAGCGCAGGGAAAAATGGGACATGGCTTGCAGTGGTGGTCTCTGCCTCAAGAGCAAAGGGAGGGGAGGTTTCTACCAGCTGCCCTTCCTGAGCTGTCTCCTTTCTTTATTGAGTCGTGAGCCTCCTCCTTAGGTTTGAGCTGAAGACGAGGGGATGAGGGTGGGTTTGGTGCGTGCGCAGTGCTCTGGTGTGAGGAGGGCTCGTGGGCAGGGTGGTGGGGTAATGTCACCTTCTTGCTCTGTCACAGCTCTGGGACATCGGTGGCCCGCCGCGGGTCCGCAGCCTGTGGGGGAGGCATGGGACATCGGTGGCCAGCCGCGGTTCCGCAGCATGTGGGAGAGGTACTGCCGTGGAGTGAGTGCCATCGTGTGAGTATCCCCGGGAGCCAGGAGCCCCCTCACCCACCGCCCGTGCTGAGCTCCACCAGTGGGTGCGGGCACAATCCCTTCGCCCCACCTGAGGGTGCTGGGCTGGGAAACTGCGGTGCTTTCACTTCCAGAGCTGGACACTTGTGCCGGGAGTTGAGATGCTTCCCCCTGGGAATGGTTCCCCCATGGGCACAGGGGAGCCAGGTCCCTGCCAGCTGTGGCAGATGCTTCCCTTCCAGCATCACTCAGCCCAGCTCTGCTCCTTGGATCTTGCCCTTCCTGGGTCTTGTGCTTGCCCTGGGCTGCCTGTTCATTGCAGAGGCTGAGCAAAGGCCATTGGTGTGGCTCAGCCCTTTCCAAGAGGCTGGTTTTAAGGGCAGCTGCCAGAAGCAAGTTTCCAGGTCGTGCTGGTTATGTGCTGTTGGATGAATCTTGTGCTGAGAGGAGTATCTGTGCAGTGCCTGCTACTGACTGTCAGCAAAGCTTTGTTTTCCCACATGTCCCCTGCTTGCAAACGTTGCAGCGAGTGCAGTCCTAGGGAGATAATACTCATGGAGGGTATACTTTTGGAGGGCTCAGTTTCTGTGCTGCCTTTCCCAGCTGTAGGTCTGGCAGGTGAGAAGTGAGGGGCCACTTGTTCTGCTTGTTGGGACAGCAGAACCATGTCAGGACACCTTTTATTACAGGGAGCTTTGCTGGAAATGACAAAGTACCAGCACTGGGGGGGATTTATTCTGCCTCCTTCCCTAATTTCATTCTTTTTCCAGTGGCCCATGTGGTTGAGAGGAAAACAGAGGGAGCCGTAGGGACCTGTGGCCATCCAGGTCATGCTTCAGTCTGTCTTGCTTGCCTTGAGCTGCCTCAATTCCCTTTTCTCTTCCCTTCAGCCCTCCCGCCCTGTCCAGATGCTGAAGGCTCATGGCAGTGCCTGGGTGGGTTTTTTCCCTCTCCCTCTTGGTACAGCCATACACTTTTCACTGTGTTCAGTGCTTCAGTAGCTAAAGGCTCTTTTCCTATTTTTAATAAACCCCACAAGGCCTGTTGAAGCTTAATGGTGTTTCTCACTTCTTCTCTCCCAGCTTCTTGATCTTTAAAAGAAAGACTGCTTTAATCAGTTCCTCTCCTCATTTATGTCCTTTGCGGGATGAGTATCCACCCAAAAGAGCTAAATCCTTTCCTAAATCTCCCCTGTCTGCTCAGAGCAAGCATTGCTGACTCTGGCTTCATGTGCCCTTTGGCCCAAGCCTCATGCCCAAGACAGTTCCCATCAAGAGGATGAGCAGGTCCTCTCCCCACTCTTGGGTCTCTTCATCATCAGCTCCTCTTGTCTTCTCCTCTTGTTAATCCCCTATTCTGGGTGTCTCCATAGGAGCTGCCAGGAGCCTTGAGGTCAATATGTGTCTTGCAGCTTCTTCTGCCTGGGCAGTGCCTGGTCTTCCCTCACCCACCATATCCCTGCTGTCAGTGGGGTGGATCCCTGCAGGGATGGGGACAGAGAAGTCCCCCCCTCCCCTAGGAGACACGACCAGCTCTCAGCCCCCCAGTCTTCCTCAGGAGGAAGGGTGCTGGGGGAAGGATGCTGTTATCCATCACCTCCATGCACTGTCCCAGGAGTCTGCTGTGTGAGCAAGGTTTGGTTGTGGCACGGACCTCAGCACAGCGCCGGGGCGTGGGGACCTCAGCGCCTGCACTCAGGGGTGTCCCTTCCCTTGCAGGTACATGGTGGATGCTGCTGACCAGGAGAAGATAGAGGCCTCCAAGAATGAACTGCACAACCTGCTCGACAAGCCACAGCTCCAGGGCATCCCGGTGAGCTGTTGCCAGGATAGGTCCCCCTCAGCTGCTCACGGTCCCCAGGCTGGTGGCTGCCAGGGTTTGTAGCAGGGGGGCTGGCATCTTGCAAAGCAGATTTGGGGAGGGGAACCCCTTCCTTGTGAGGGTTCCCCGTTGCTGCTGCACTCCTGTGAGAGCTGGGTCAGTGATGCTTTCTAGCCCAGGGCTGGGCCAACAAACAGAGGGAAGGGAGCTTGGAAAGAGACCAGACCCATAGACACATCCCAGTGTGTGACATCTGTCCTCTCGCATGAATTTACACCTTATTTATAGTGGGACATTAAGGTCTCATCTCCCCGGAGAGCGGCTGCAGGGCTGTGCCATTTGCAGGAGGTGGGATGTGGCAGCAGTGCAGGACACGCTGCTCGTGCCTGGATGCTTACGGAGCATCCAAAATCAGCATCCTTTGAAAGGAAGTAATTAAGGATCTTGCAACAGATCCCAAACATTCACTGCCAACTAAATTAAGCTCCTGACATAATGCGCTGCGTTTGCAGCCCCTCCGAATGCTCTTTTTTGAGAACAAGGCTCCAGATTTGAGCTGGGGGATGCTGCGTTACCGGGGCTGCTGCAGAGGCCCTGGCTCGCCCTGGGAAGGCGGCCGCAGCCTCAGTGCTGTCCTTGTCAGATGACAGTCGCGTGGTGCTCTCCGGAGGGATGAACAAGTCCTGACGGGTGATTATTCTCCTTGCATAGTCTGAGGATTCCTTTGTGGATGTGAAAAGCCTTGAAATAAGTAGAGATCAGTGGCTGGTGCAAACAGCTGTTGCTTTTTCGGGCTGGCTGCCTGCAGAGAGCAGGTTCTGCACAGCATCCACGTCTCACTCCTCCTCACTAACACTGGGTTTACCTATTTTACTTGACTTTTTGCTCAAAGACTGCCAGAGACTCCTGGGAGAGCATCCTTGATGGCACGACACATGCTGGTGCCCTTCTGGGAGAATGTGCTGTGGGGCTGGCTTCTCACTGGGACTAGAGAGTGCACCAGGGATGCTGTGTATGGGCTAATTATGGCTGTTAATTGAAGTGCTCTGCCTTGTGGTTGCCTGCTGAAGGGCTTTTCTCAGTCCAGGCAGATCCTGGAGAAGTGGCCAGGGCTGTGTTACATCTCAAGCAGAGTCCACTTCTGGATGGCAGAAGCAGGTTCCTGCCTGGTCTGCTGGCCAGGAGCTTCAGTTGTCCCCTCTCCCACCCTGCAGGTCCTAGTCCTGGGGAACAAGCGAGACCTGCCTGGTGCCTTGGATGAGAAAGAGCTCATTGAGAAGATGTAAGTGTGCCAGTGGCCCTGGCAGCCACAGCGGGGCTGTGACACAGTGGAATTCTCCTGTTTCCTGCCATGTCATAGAATCAGAGAGTCAATCTCAATCTCCCCTCTGGCAGGTTCAAGCCATTTCCCTTGTCCTGTCCCTACATCCCTTGTCCAAAGCCCCTCTCCAGGTTTCCTGGAGCCCCTTTAGGCTCTGGAGCTGCTCTAAGGTGTCCCCTTGAGGAGCCTTCTCTTCTCCAGCTGCCCCAGCCCAGCTCTCTCAGCCTGGCTCCAGAGCAGAGCTGCTCCAGCCTTCAGAGCATCGTTGCCTCCTTTGGACTCTCGAGCAGGTCCACAACCCCTGTTGTGCTGGGTGCCCCCGAGCTGAACACAGTGCTCCAGGTACCCAGCACGGTCACCCCGCCGTGCTCTGTCGCTCCTCCTCCCCCAGCCGGGTGGCATTGAGGTGCCTGGGGTGGACAGAGGTGGGTGGCTGGGGACAACCCAAGGCAGCAGCTGGCAGAGGTGGCGTCTCTGTGGGGTCGGAGAGGAGCTGGAAGCTGCTGCACCAGGGCTGGGTCCTGCGTGCCACACGGTGGCGTTGGGGCCCGGCACGGCGCTGGTGCTGGGCTCCCGCATGGGTGCTGCTCAGGTCACCCTCAGCTCTGCCCCACTGCCTGGCGCAGGCACTGCTGCACCGTTAGCGGGGAGCCCTCGGTGCTTGGATCCTGCTCTGGTCTGTGACTCCATCCACGTGGATCTCCCTTGTTTCACGTGTCCTCTTTGCTCCCTCCTGCCAGCAGCGATCCCCTCCCCTGCAGACGGGGGACTGGGACACGGTGCTGACTGACAGCATCTTTGGTCCCCCCCCTCCCCTTGGAGATCTCTGCTGCCCCTTTGGCTCCTGTGCTGCCAGCCCTGTGCTGCTCCCAAACCCTCCCTGCCCTGTCTCGCCACAGGGCTGTGCAGCTGAGGTTTAGGGAGGGAAGCTGTGTGGTTGTAGCCAGGCTCTCCATGGGGTTGGGTCACTCCTGCCCCATCACATTACCCCCACAGATTGTGCCTGGCCGTCAGTCATGGGCACAGTGTGCTGGTGTCCTCGTCCAACCCACATGTGGAAGCCTGGGGAGACATTGCTCCTGCAAAGTGTCCCCCTTCTTGGAGCTGAGGTCCAAAGGGACCCCTCAGGAGGCTGCCCAGAGGCATCTCCCATCGCTGTCAGTGCACAGCCATGGGGGTTTGCAGCCAGAGCTTGTTTCTCTCTGCAGGAACCTCTCTGCCATCCAGGACCGAGAGATCTGTTGCTACTCCATCTCCTGCAAAGAAAAGGACAACATCGGTGAGTACCAGCAGCTCTGCTGCAGGGCTCAGCATGGGGGAAGCCCATGGGAGCAGCGTGCCCAAGTACAGGAGGGGGTGACAGCCGTGGGGAGAGGCTGCAGGTTTCCTCTTGCCTTCACAGACATCACCCTACAGTGGCTTATCCAGCACTCGAAGTCTAGGAGAAGCTGAGATCCCGCAGGCCGTGGTTCACGTCGGGAAGATGCCATTGTACAAGCCCATGCCCCTTCTCTCTTCTCCTCTGTCCCTTCAGCTCTCTCTCTAGATGGGTATTTTTAGGGGACCCCAGACTCCACTCGCATTGAGGTGGAGCCCTTGTTTTTATTGTAAAGAAAATGTCCAACTGCCCTCCTCTCCTCTCTCTGTCTCTTCCTCCCATTTTGGCACTGTTCTGTTGTTGTCTGTGTATACAGTATATATATATGTATATATATTTCAATTTTTTA